GCAAAATATTAGTAATAATAAAAAGCTAAAAATTACTAATAAAATAGGTAGTTAATAGTGCTGATAATGCAATAATTATGTACTAAATTTGTAAAAATGCTAATTTAATACTAATAAACTACTTTATTTTGTTTATATTTTGCTAAATATTGCAATTTTTAAATTTTTAAATTTTTGTAAAGTTCTATTTGATAATAATTAGTTACTATTCTCTAATAAGACTAAGAAATTAATTTTTTAAATTTTTTTTGATCTTTAACTTCTTTTTTTTATTATAAATTTCTTTATTATTTAGCTTGTTTCTATATACATTGTATTTAGGTTTATTTTAGCTTCTTTTTTCTTGTTTTTAATTATTTCAATTATAACTTTCAATTTTTTTAAGTTTATTGATAAATAATTTTGATTTAATATACTAATTTCTGCTATAATAATAAGATTTTTCATATTATTAATAATACTTTTTTCAGTTATTTTATTTGTTATTTTTTTTTTATTTTCATTATTTTGATCCTGTTTATTAAATTTCATTATTTATAATTTTTTTTTAATTTAAAGTTTTTTTTAATGATTTAAATTACTCATATTAGTAATTAAATCTAGATTGTGTTATATTATTCGTGCTTTTATTATTTATTTTTTAATTAATATGTTTTTGAATTTCTAGTTTTGATACTTAACTGTAAATTAATGGGTTTTGTTTTGTAATTTTATTTAGATTACTAATTTCTATATAATATACTATTTGTTTTATATTATTTAATCTATATGATATTATATCTTTAAATACTTTAATTAATAAATTTTTATTTAAATAACTAAGCTTTTTTTGGTTTTTAAATAAATTTAAGTTACCTTTGTTTATATAACTCATTTATCTTATTCTCTAAATCTAAATTTAATTAATAATTAATTAGTATCTATTTATTATAACTATTATTATAGTTATAGACTTTTCTAAAAAAAAAAGTATATATTGTCTTTTATTATTATTTTAATTATATAATTTTATTATTTATTTTTAATTTACTATACTTACTAAAAAAAAAACATGCATTATTATTTGTTTACTTTATTATTTATATACTTTTTACAATCCAATTTAATTAACTATACAAAAACTTTAACAAATTTTTAAAATTTCTAAAAAATTTTAAAAAAAGACCAAAATGTTCTTTTACTTTATTTCTTAATTAAATAAAAAGTAACTTCTAGTAAACTTTATATTATTTTTGTTTTCTTTTTTTTCTTAAGGTATTATATCAGGTTTTTTAAATTAATTATAACTAATTGTTATTATTTTAGTTTTGTTTACTTTTTTTAAAAGTAATTTTTTTGATTTTTTAATTTTTATAAATAACTTTTTTAATTATATAATTCTATAAACTATTACAAAAAAAATACAATTGGCTAAATATTGTGAGCCTGATTTTTGGGGTCACAGGTGACTGAATCGAAGCAACAATTCTGATCTGATTCAAGGTCACATGAACATGATGGAAATGTCACTTATGTTACTTATGTCACTTCTACGACATAGCTACATATGAGTTAAATGAAATATTAGTGTTTTATTAGACTTAGTTAGGATATAGCATATAAGAAATCTGATGTGTTTATGAAAAAAATTAACTGTAAATGTAAACAAAATGTTTATTATAAATAAAAGGCTTTTTGCCTTAAGAGAAAACAACTCCCGCATTCCAAACAACAAATTCCTAACAACCAATTCCTAATAACAAATTCTCTAATAACAAATAAATACCTGACCCCTAATATAAGTGAAAGTCTACCTATATAAACTAATAGACCATCATAAACCCTGTTGTTACCCTTATTGTTTATTTAAATAAATCCCTAAACTTACTAGTTGATCACTTGCCACAAGTCATGTGACAAGACTGTTATTGAAAGAGAAGTTCCAACTCTGATTTGACATAGTATAATCTCAGTTTGAGTCATAAAAAGAAGATAAAGAGAAGATAAAGTAAGATAAAGAGAAGATAAAGAGAAAACCAAGAGTTAATAGAAGCCAGGTTAAAGGAAAGCTCTAAAGAGAAGATTACAACTTATCTACGAATAAACCACCTAGCCAAATCTAACACGCCTAATTCGACTTAGCACTGTAGGTTACACAAGAGTTGGATTGATTTAGTGACAGACTCACTGATTCCAGAATCATAATATATAACTTTTTTATATTACCTATTTAAAAGGTTCATTTAAAGATTCTTCATTAATTGTTATATCTTATATATCTGCTTGAGTGTTCTATTTTAAATCCTCTGAACCTGCAATCTGTACTAATATTATTGGATCATATCTAGGTCATCATCTTAATCTAAGAATATTTTATTCTCAAAATAAACCTTCTAAAATCTTCTATATCTATTTTTATAACTAATCTGATATTATTATAACAGAATTAACACTTGCAATTTGAACTAATTATTAAATTATTATATTTTTATAGAATTTATTTAAACTTCAGTATTTAATTTATAGCATATTTTTGGTACTTTAGTATATCTTTACTTGTTATTCAGACTTCTAATTCAGATAACTTATATAGAATTAAAATAAGTTTATTAGTATATCAAATTAATCTGATATGTTTTTTCTCCAATCTTCTTAGTTTGAATTCTATTAATCTGGTTAATGGTACCTCTATTCAAAGATTCTTGATTATTTGAATATTTTGATATTGGTATCAGTTTTCAATAATCTAGTCATTATAATAACATTTTTGAAGATCTATATTACTTTTCTATTTAAGTTTTTTTAAATAAACTTCTTGTTTCTGAATTTTAACAGATTTATATAATTATAAGAACTTATCAAGAATTTATACTGCCTAATATTAGTTTGTATAATTAATTATACAAATACTCTATGACATGCCAATCATGCTGATATGACCATCATTACAGGTATCTTAATCCAATTGTTAAAAACAGTTGACATAATACAAGTATTACATAGATGAACATAATACAAGTATTATATAGATGATTATCCAAATTTTTGCTATCAATAGAATTTGAACACTCAACCTATCAATTGGAGTGTTGACAACTTATTCACTTCACTAAGTTGCCACATTCCAGTTTTGTCTGTTATTGAAAAAAAGATCAGTAAAAAAAATATAATGTTTTTTTTTTAATGTTTTGTTATTACTTTACTAGACACATTTAAAATTAATTTTTATAACTATTTAAAAACATTATACTTCACATTATGGTACATTTGTAAAATACACAAAATTTTAAAAAAATAAATCACATACATCGGTTTTACCTACATCAAATTTTTTAGACAATAAAATTTGCTACGCCTCCAAAATCCAAAATTTCGAGTTCTAGCACTGCAATTTTATTGGCTAAAAAAATTGATGTATTTGAAAGTGATGTACGTAAATCATTTTCCAATTTGAAAAATTTGACTACTATATGTTAGTCATTTAATTAACTTCATATATATTGATATTGATATGTAGTCAATAGAATATCCGACTTAATGTGTTAACTTAGTCAATTTCCGTGTTCATCTATCAAACTTGTTATCTGATCTAAACATACATATATATAAATACTTTTCAGCTAAGAATTATTTTAATGTGCAATAATAAATTTAGAATCGGTTGTCCGAATTTTATTGAACTTTAAAATGATCAGACGTATTGGTATTATAGATCGGAGTGCTATTAATTTTTTGGAGGGTTCAATTCAACATCAATAAGGCTATCAAAATAATGATTTAGAAAGTATAATAATATTTATTGTTTTAATATGTAGCTAAATAAATTTATATATAGTAAATATGATTTAGTAGAACTCGCTAACAATTATTTTACCAACAATTTATATCTATCTAACACTAACTAACTATAGATTAAGCAAACTAACTTTGATTTTAGATATATACATCATACCGACTTATTGTAACATGGCAATAACAACTTTTATTTACTTGATTTATTGATCTAAAATACCAATATACAAATGAGTAATAAATTTGTTTAATTATAATAAATCGGATATATTACTTACCATCGGGGATTTCAAAATAAATAGGCCGACTTACTATTGTAAAATACATACATATAAATATACTAGAACTATGATTTAAAATCCAATTTAAGAAAATAAATAGTTACCTGCATTTATTATATTGGCAGATTCAGAAATTTTTACAGTTAATAATATATTACTATTTTTTTAAAAAAAACCCCCAAGTAAAAATGTTATTACTTGGTTTAGGGATTTTTGAAAGATTCAAAGATCGACTTGTATAAATAGCTTGTGGATGTGTCTGATGTTTAACTTGATCATATGTTAAGAAGTTTTTGTCCAAATTTTTAATATTTTTAACTTGCTTATATAATTCAGTTTCATCATTTTCCAAATCTTCAAAAAAAATATTCAGCCTATTAACTAATTCCTTAGCAGTTGGTCGGTTTTTGAGGTTCTGCGTCTATGTATTTATTCATCAGATTTAAAAGTAGTTTGGGAACTTCGCATCTAATTTTGGGTCTATAACTTAGACAAATACGCATTGCTAGATCTTCATTGTGTGGAATATCATGATATACGGTAAAAACTTCCGATATTATTATTCCGAAAGAATAAATATCTGATTTTTAAGTATATTCCTTTCCATTTGTGTATAATACTTCTGGAGCAATATATGGAATCACACCAAAAAGCTTCCCCAAATTTAAGTCTTTTGATACTGGTCTACATAAGCTAAAATCAGTGATGTAAGAACTGTACATATTTTGATTAACTATATTATCGGAATGAAAATCTTTATGCACTAATTTGGCGCGGTGAATTGCATTAAGCCCAGTAGCTATGAAATATAAGTTAGCTACTTTAGAAGTTCAATTTAATTCGCCATATCTACTATCTAACAATTTTCTAAGACTTCCTTGCTTTGCATACTCCATAACCATCATGTAGTTACCATCTTTTGGGCCCTTGGTTATTCCATAAATTACAATTGCCGAATTGCCTCCATGTTTATGTTGATTTTTAACTTAAAATATTAATTAGAATAAATGAGATTTACTACACTTTAATAATAAATCATAATGCTTACTTCTTTTAAAAATTCTTGTTTTATATCTTTAGAATTATCAAGACTTTTTAAGCAAACATCTATTTGCAGACTTCTCTTCCATTCATTCTTTTTATTAAGTCCATCAATTCATCCATCAATACATACTGCCTTAAAAACGGTGACAAAGCCTTCTTTAGCAATATACTTTATATTTGCGAATTTGCTAAAGGGTATCCATTCAATAATGTCTTTAAAACTCATTGCATCAAGTTTATTTGCTGAATTAATTGATCAATGTCGTGATTATCACTTGTCCAATTACAAAATTCTTTCTTAAACCTTAATATTAATAATAATAAATATAATAATAATTAAGAGCTACGACTATCGATATTTTGATTTTCGTAAAAATTCTGGTATTGATCAATAACCATGAATCAAACCGAGATCAGATTGTCGGATAATGACGGAATGCTGGCTTATTGGGAATTAGTACGACTTTCTAGGTTGTTTTAACAATAATTCGTACTGCCACTTGATCGGCGCTTACGCGGTCGATCAAGTTGCAGTACAAATTATT